ATTATTTAAAACTATAAACTTCTTTACTTCCAAACGAGAGGCACCACTTTTCAAAAGATTTAACTTCCAAGTTCAGTAAACTATTAAATATAGCTATAAGATTCGAAGTGTACATAGTGGACAAAAGCTTCCCCGGTTAATATGCAACTACGCTACCGACTTGTGTTTGATACGAAAACTGAGGGGCGCATCTTGTACTTGGCCTTGCTCAACCTAGAGGACCCAACACTGGATAAGAATTACAAGAGTGAAAGAATCATGGGCCTAGTTTTTTTTTTTTTTTTTTTTGACAAAACAATAGTGTTGTATTCATTCAGGAAAACACCGAATAAGTCTCCACCAGAGGTCATGGACCATTACATAGTATCCTCAATAAGGAGGTCAATGATAAAGCTAAGAGGTTGATCAGACCACTCACACTGGCTGCCAACATTTAAATTGAACCTAGCTAGTCTATGTGCGACCGTGTTAGCTTGGCCACGGACATGGGTGCATAATTCTTCAGTGATTGCGCCGAGGATGCTCTTCGTGTCTTCTACCAACTGCCCAATTGATGACGTGTTAGTGGAGGCATCACGAAGAGCCATTTCAATCTGAAGAGAGTCTCCTTCCAAAAAGAAATTTTTGAAACCCCTCGAGTCCGCCCAAGATGAACAAGCCCTTGCCGCCATAGCTTCTGCCTGTAAGGGAGAAAGGATGTCCTGGAAATTCATGCAAGCCGCTGCAACAAAAAACCCTTGTCGTCTCTAACAACAACGCCCAAGCCTCCCACCTGAGAGTCCCTGCACCATGCCCCGTTGAAGTTGATTTTCAGGCGGCCGGAGGGAGGCATCCTCCATTTGATAGGACTTTCTAGGGGTGTTGTTGGCCGTGACCACAGAAGAATAAATACGCCTAAACTCATGCCACCAGGCTATTGCCTTTGAGGCAACGATATCAGGGGTATCGCATTTATCTTCCCACAAGTTTGAGTTCCGACATCCCTAAATGGCCCAGCAATTGATCATGAAGATTTCAAATAAATTAGGAGGGAGTGAATCTGCCACCTCCGACACCTAATCAATAACAGATGAGGATCCAGAACCTCTAGGAAGACAGGTAATCGGTGCATAGAACCAAATGCATCTAGCAAAGTGACACTCCTTGAGGATATGATATGTGGATTCCCCATGGAAGTTACATAGAACGCACAATAGATCTGTCATTATATGCTTCTTTGCTAGTTTACATTTGGTGGGGATGATGTTGTTACAGAGATGCCAAAATGTAACTCAAACTTTAGGTGGAACATTGGCCTTCCAAACTTTGTCCCAAAGGTTAGAATTTGAGTTCCCTGCTGATGAAGATAATGCACTTCTGTTGACAGGAGTTAACCATTTATAGGCAACATGGTATGTGGATTTGACCCAGAAACACCCTTTAGGATCGTAATGCCAAATCAGCCAATCTGGAGGATCACGGATGCTGATAGGAATATACCTAATGAGATTTATCTCATCCTTGCAAAATAATGATTCAAGGGTGTCCCTCTTCCAGACTTTTATATCCCAGTCGATCATTTCTCCAACTAAATTCAACGGGCAGTCATTTGGCTTAGGAGTGAAGATACGAAAGGATGATGAGAGGCTGATCCACGAATTTCCCTAGATTTTTACGTTTATACCATTACGATTTGCCATCGTGTACCTCGGTTTATGACAACCCTAGAAGCACAAAGGCTTCTCCAACAATAAGAATAGATGGCATTAACCAGTACCTCCAAGAATAAAGAAGATGAGAGGTACTTGGCTTTTAGAACCTGTGCCAAGAGTGATTGAGGGTTGTTCATAATTCTCCAAGCTTGTTTGGCTAGTAATGCTAAGTTAAAAACATAGAAATGATGAAGACCTAAACCGTCCTCACTTTTGGGTAAGCACAGTTTATCCCAAGATAGCTAGTGAATTCTGCGATCCTCGTCACTGTTATTCCACCAGAAAGAGGCAATCATTTGGTTTAGCTCGTCGCATAGAAATTTAGGCAAGAGGAAGCAGCTCATAAGATAGGAAGGTATGGCTTGCGCAACTGCTTTCACAAATAGCTCCTTGCCAGCTGCACTAAGTAATTTCCCCTTCCAACTTTGGAGTTTTTTCCATAATTGCTCCTTAATAAATCCAAATCAGCACAAAGTAGGAATAAATAGGGTAATAACGGATCGCCTTGGCGAAGACCTCTGGAAGGATATACATAGTCGCAAACGGATCCATTTACCAAAAACGAGTATTTCACAATAGAAACCGTGGTCATCACTAAGTTGATCCAATTTTGAGAAAAGCCGAGCTTGCCTAATACCAAGCGCAAATTACTCCATTTAATTTTATCGTAGGCTTTGCTCATATCTACTTTTAGAGATAAGAAGCCATTTCTACCCCTTATTTTTTTGAATAAGAAATTGGCCATCTCAGAGCCGATGAGGGAATTATCTGATATTTAACGCCCGGGAACAAATGCTGACTGGTTCTGTGAGATAATGGAAGGCATAAAGACCTTTAATCTGTTTGCCATAATCTTAGACATCGCCTTAAAAATAGCATTGCAGAGGTTTATCGGTCGCAGTTGAGCCATTTCTTGAGGTTTCTTCACCTTTGGGATTAAGCAAATGTGAGTGAAGTTGATTTGCTTTAGGATCATCCTAGAGGAGAAAATGATAGAATAGCCACAACTATATCCATTCCAACGATCCCCCAAAAGTTTTGGAAGAAGAGATGAGTAATCCCGTCCGGACCTGGAGCTTTGGAAGGTTGCATCTGGAAGAAAGCGTTCTTGATTTCTTCATCAGATATAAGGTGATCAAGTTACACCCCCATTTCAGCAGATACCCTACTCTCCAGGGAGTCTAAAACATCAGTAGTGTTTCCAGGGCCAGAGGATTTGAACATGTCGCTGAAATAATCAAGAACAATCGCTTCAATCTCTGCCTCGGATTCTCTCCATCTGCCCAACTTATCTCTAAGATCAGAGATGTGGTTTTTTGCTTTACGAATACAAGCTCTTTGATGGAAGAATTTGGTATTTCAGTCACCTTCCTTAACCAATTGGATACGAGATCGTTGGCACCAGAAGCTTTCTTCGTCACTGAGTAAGGCATCCAGGCGCTGCATTAGAGACGACTTTTTAGCAATGGATTCCTCCATTAGGGGTTGAGCTAAGATAAAGCCCAATTTAGAGCGAACTTGTGCAATTTCCCATTTTCTTTTGTTGAATTCATTGTTGCTCCACTTGGTTAACGTGACCCTATATGCCTTGATCTTCTGAACTACTTGGAACATAGGTACGCCCACAACAGATTGCTCCCACGCCTCTTTGACAACATCGAAAATACCATCATGCCTGGTCCAAAATTCCTCAAAATGGAATGGTAGATGTTTTCGAACCCTGGGGGGGAGATAAGCCCTCATAATGAAGAATAATTAGGGAGTGTTTAGACTTGCTCAGCTCAAGGTGTTGCACAAAATGCTTGGGGAAAAGGTTGTTCTACCTTGAGTTGGCAAAGTCCCTGTCGAGCTTTTCCTTGATACCACCATGCCGAGTAGTGATCCAGGTGAATGGATTACCCACGTAGCCTAAATCTTTAAGATTGCAGTTGTTGATTGCCTCTTGAAACTTTAAGATTTGTCTTATTGGCCTAACCGGACCTCCTAATTTTTCATGAATGTGCAACAATTCGTTGAAATCACCCCAACAACCCATGGTAGTGACGAACATTGTGCTAATTGCCTAAGCAGGTTCCAAGAAAGGGTCATTTGCTCAGTAATAGGATGCTCGTAAAAACTGGTGAACCTCCAATGGAACGCATTGCCCACACCACTGATCTTTACATCAATATGAAAATTCGACGAGCTCAAAATCCGAATATTTGTCTTATCTTTCCAGAATAGGGCAGGGCCACCAGATTAACATCTAGAGTTGACTCCACAAAACTTGTTGAAACCTAGTTGAACTTTCAGTAACCTTAGAGATCCTTGTTGACATCTAGCCTTCGACAAGAAAACTAAGGTGGGATCTTGCTGCCTTAGAATGATCTGTAGGGCTTGAACTTTCCGACAATTCCCAAGCCCCCGACAGTTCCAAAATAAGGTTTTCATGGCTTCCGGCGAGACTAACCAACGTCAGCCACCATCAATATAACAGGAGAAAATTTCCTTTTTCGGCCAATCTACCCATCTTTTTCCGCGTCTTCCAGGTCCTTTGACGGGTTAACAATGACCTCGTGTAACCTATTGCTGTCCCTTAAGTCATGCGGTGTCCAAATTGGTCGTCTTGTTTTATAGAGGTTTTTTCCACGGCCTCCTCAACATCCAGCTTTCGGATTACGGCTGAGATTGGAGAGATGGAGGGGACGACTGGATTGGGGAATCTTTGGTTTCTTTGCAGAACTTACACGTTTAGTCCTCAAGTATGTAGGATGAGATTGAGCTAGGTACCCTTTTGTGGTCGAACTAGCAGTTGGCTCTGTTAGCGCAAGGTCCAATTCGTCATGAGAGAATAATCCTTAAGTGAAAGCTGTGTTGGGTTGACCCAAATATCATCAGAGCCCAAGAGCAGCCTCTTAGTATTCTTCAAAGCCCAATAAGGAAAACGATGTGGGTCATACCAGTTTTCAAAAAGGGAAATGTCATTAAACGCTATAGTCAAGGTTCCATTTGTGAAATGGTTACCATAGCTATCAGAGTGCCAAGTATGATCTAAGTCGAACAGTTAGTTGTGGGCCCATAGGTAACCACCTAAGGGACGCAAGGTGGTAAGTTACTAGTACCGGGGGGAGACACAACAAATGGGCCAGTCTGCTCAATGTCCCTTATGATAGCAGATTGATTGTCTTTAGTATTAGAGGCTAGTTTGTCCCTTATGACAGCGTCAGAGGTGCCAGCACCATGATGGTTGTCCTTTTTCTAACTAGTGGCATCATTCGTCGGAGCCTCCCAATCTTTCGTCGGTAAGCCGAAAAAGCTTCATTCGATGGTTCACTTATTTCTCCAATGCTGATCATCCTTTCCCGACACCACTTGGGACGTTTTGAAGGATGGGAAGAGGAAGAGGGAGGCCTTGGACAACGGGGCAGTTCTTAGTTCCATTGGGAATCTGTAACCACCCGAAGGGAGTGGAGGCACTGGGTTTATGTAGTTGCTAGCATGCTCCAGTCGGCTGCAGTGGTAGTGGAAGATACGAAGCCCCTCATATTTGAAGCGAATGGACCGATGACCTTCCTTTGGGCACGAAATCTTCAATTGAGTAATAAGGGGTTTAGAGGCATCAAAATCCACTTTGAGGCGAAGAAAACCCCTAAAACCAGACTCCAGAGGATTGTCAACTTCCAAGACATCTCCCAATCTCTCACCGATGCACTTAGCATTCTTCAAAGTGCAGAAATGCCTAAGAACTCCATGAGCTCGGATCCAGAAGATAGCCCTATTAGCCTTGATGTCATCCAGAGAATGGTAGGATGGCCAAAATTTAACAGAGAATGTATAATCTTTAATGAACCAAGGGTTTCCTTCAAGGAGGCGTCTTGTAATAGCTTCTTCCTCTACGGTGATGGCAAGGATATTAGGCTTGGCTTTTAAGATCTTGACATCTCCCATCTTATTCCAAGCATTATGAAGAACTTCCTTGACCATATGTTCCGACGGTTCGTTATTTGTGATTAACCGTCCCACCAAGTGTATATTGTTCTCCAATCGTTCCTCAAGATCTAGACTATCCTCGAAGGTAACACTGAGACATTCCATTTCTTCCTCATCCGTAGCCATGGCTCTGAGAGATTAAAACCTAGTGACTTGATCACAGGTACAACAAGGGGAAACCAGTTCCACAAATATAATTGAAGACTTTAATCACAAGCTGGGAAGTAGAGATGAGTCATCCCCTAACGCCAACGAGAAAGTTAGCAGACCCACTTCCAATTTTAGGCATGAGAAACTCTGACAAGCCACTACATTAGTTGTACAGAATGAGGTGTGTAATCATGGGCCTAGTTGGAACAATTACAAGAGTGAAAGAATCACGGGCCTAGTTGGAACAATCTCTTGGTCTAGTTTGTTGAATAATGTTCAATCTCATGATCTTTCTTTTTGTGCTTACCATAAACTTTAGGAGGTTTGAACCAAAAAAAAACTTTAGGTCTCACTCGGTGAAGAGTGACTTATATGACATATGTACACTTTCATCATAGATGTCTATGCTAATGATACAACATTACATGAATAAAAACTTACAAATATCTTTGCATCATTGACACATGATGTCATGATGGCAGTGTAGCCATACCAAGATCGAGATTAAGTCTAACTCTATTCCATACTGTCCTATTCTTCAGGAGAAGATTTGGTTTCTCTAATATGTTCAATTTTTTGACTTAGTGAGTCAAATTATTTAAAACAACCTATTGCAATGGGGCCAATTTTTTGATGAAATTTTTACCACTTGCAAAAATAGGGATAAAACCACTTAAAATACACAAGAGCACAACGTAATCGTAATATAACAGCTCAAGGAAAGTCGTTCTCCACAAGAGGTAAATAAATAATTTATGTTAAAACCAAATCTTAATTAATTATTTAAAAACAAAGTTTGGAAAAAGATGATTTCGTGACTTAAACTATTAAAAACGAATTTAATAAAATAATTAAAGAAATCAACAAAGTAAAGAAAACAAAATAAAATAGTTTTGAAAATCAATTTAAGCACTAGAGTTCCGCCGCCACCTTAACAATCATATGTAACCTTACCAATTACTTATGAATTACACATGCAACTTTGAAGGTTAGGTTTTCCTACTGCATATTCTCCTCGTGATATTCAAGCAAGAACGTATATCTAACATGCAACTCATCTGTATATTTAGATCAAATATGAACATGTAAGATTCATTATGTTTTGTGAAAATCCTTTGAAAAACCATGCAACCCCTAAGACATGATATTCAGTGAAATTACAATACCAACCACAAGAAGCAATACTCAATCCTTCGGTGATAGTCTGACCGAATTATATTTGATTACTTATCTAAACATCCTAATAGTAGCTAAGCATTAAGACATAAAGACAATTTAAATACATTGATTAATAATTCAAAGTATGCATGCATAACATCATAAGCAATTGAATAAAGACTACATATTCATGCTAAGGCTCGTAGTTTTTCCCTAGCAAACAAAAATTAGATATGAACAACCATAAAACAAAAAGAATTTTATTGAAATAGAAAAAGGATAGAAAACACTTTGAAATATAAATTGTCAAAGCCTAGCTAAGTTTTCCAAATTGATGTGTTCCCTCTAAAACCCTAATGGCTGAAAAACCTTATTTATACTACTACAAAATAAAAAATCCTTTCTAGAAAATGTGTTCTAAAAAGTAGGAAACACAATAGAATAAGATAACTAGCAAATACATTCCTATTCTAACTTTGGAAAACCTACCCAGCCACAAACAGCCACGTTTCTGGATCTTTAGGGCTCCAAAACAGACCCAAAACGATATGAATTAAAGCTTGAGATATCTTGAACATAATTGCAAAAGGCCATCAACCCAAAGGACATCATCTTGGATGCTAAAAAGCCCAAATAAGCCCAAAACGTCACTTTGACAGCACTGCGTGCTACTCCTTTATTTCATCGCCTTTAATCGCTTGGTAGAAATATCCTAAACTTTGAAACGAACAAGTTGAGACACCAATGAACATCCTCCAATTAGAATCATTCCAAAATTCATCCGTTAGAATACTTTTTGCTCAAGAGGAGTTCAAATGTCCTACACTGGAATATATAACAAAGTATCAAAATTCTCACATAATAATCAATAAATTAATACTAAGATTAGGTTAAAATATATAGCATAATATCAACTCATCATTCATCAAACATGAGACATGGCCAATTTAATTGGATTTATCCATATTCTGACCGGCCCAACAAAGGAGGCCTTAAGGAACATACATTTTCTTGAGGTCCAAACAAAGCCAAAACTATTGCAAATGTTCCTTTAGGAAAATGAGATATCTATATATGTCTAAGCATATGAACCAAGTCAAAAAGTGGGTTATGTAATTGCTTTTTTATCCTTTTGGAAGTTCCTTGGTCCCAACTTTTGGATGGGTCTAGTTTTCGTTAGCTACTGTTTGTGTTTAATTTCAAATTAAAAAATTTATAAAGATTTATGGCCGCACGATGTACGATAAATGGATAGGATGTTAGGATCCCTAGGATCCTTACAAAGAGGATCCAGATGGGATCCAAATCTTCAACTTTTAGTCACCCCTGTATGTTTGTTATTGTTAAAGTTGTATATGCAATGATTGAAACTTGAACTGGAGTTAGACTTTAGGCCTAGACCTTCTCGACTATTCTCTTTAAACATGTACCAATTGGGATGTTTTGATACCAAAAACCTAGCTACATATGGTGGAAAATGACCATCCAACTATACCAACCAACCAAAAAACACGAACATGACTTTGTGTATTAGATCATGTGATTTAATTAATAGTAATGCTATTTAGATAAAACTGACCGCATCGCTATACAAATGAGTGATACCATTGTGTGTGTGTGTGTGTGTGTGTGTGTGTGTGTGTGTTACCATTGTGTGTGTGTATATATATATTTGTGTTATTCTTTAAATTTAATAATTACTTATGAATTATTGCATCTTGCAAGTGATCTTAAAAGTAACAAAAGCAATCATTTTAGAATCTCTATTATCTTTGAACAAGCAAATGATATTGAAACAATGAGTCCAAGAGTAGGTAGAAAGTTCACAAGAACCTGAATTAGATGAAACCTTATCCAAGATAATATTGACCAAATGGGAAAATATATTGGTGACGTCGTAATCGGGCCTTCTTGCCACCCTAGTAGTCGATCGGTCAAACTTTGCAATTGACTTAAAATTTGTCGTTCTTCCATTATAAGTGGGTTTTTATCACGGTTGGTCATTGGAATTGGACTTTCTAATTAAAATGGTTTTCACTTTTTTTTTTTTGGAACAAACGATATTATCTACACTAAGAGAGACAATTCACTTAGTCTCACAATGGACTAGCAATAATGTGGTTCAAATTCACCTTTGGCGAGAATCGACCTCTCACTTACAAGTGAAAAGAATACCACTAGACCAAATAAAATGGTTTTCGAAATAGAAAATTCATCAACGTGATCTTTGAATATAGGTCTTACAAATCAAATTGGTTTCTTCTTTAGCTTTCCATTAAAAATTAATAGTTATTGTGATCATGTTGCATATGATTGAGTAACCTATCTAATTACATGATGCCATGTGGATTAACAATAAAAGCTATTTTAAAAAAAAAAACTTTTATATTTTTCTTTTCACAAACTGATACACTAGCTCCTAACTTTTTCTCATGTTCATTATCCACTCTGTCTTTCTCCTCTCTCCATTGAAGAAAGATCAAAAGCTTCAAAATTGTTCAAATCCAATAACTTGTTTTAATTCTTTCACTAATCTTCACTGGAAAAGAATTTGAAATTATTTTTCAACCTTATTTTTTTGAAGTTTCAATTTCAACCTAAATTATTTATTGTTCGTTTTTTCTCTTCGTAAAAGGAATGTGGAGTTTGATGTTTGATGGTGATGTAGGAATCTTTGTTGAAAAACTTGTAATTCTACCTCAAAATTGAGAGTTTGAATTGGTTGGCTATTGAAGGCCTTGGATTTTGATATGATGGAGGGTAGAAGAAATTGCGAAGTTTCTAACTTTAATGTTTTTATTCACCCAAGAAAATGGGCTAAGCTATATTCTCATACTTGGTTCTCGAAAAGGTGGTAGATCTGTGTATTTTTGTTGCTTTTCCAATTCAAAGACTCAAATGTTAGAATTCCAAATGAGTCTTAAGATTTGAGTCTTTGCATTGTAGAAGAATCATCTTTAGTGATGGGAATCTTGGAATGAATGAGGAAGAGGGGGCAGTTGATCATTTAGGTTATTTGTTTAGTGTTGACGAGATCTATGGTACATATTGATTTTTTTTTTCTTTGTGATTTTTGTTGAACCGTATGCATAAAAAGGTGCATGTATGGATTGTGTCACGAACTTCATAAGTGTCCACTAGTAAAGCTGCCATGCATTGACATTGTTCTCACTTAACCACTTAGGCCAAACCCTATGTGTTTTATCAAGCCTAATGGACCTCAAGTCTGGGGTTTTATCTCAAAATGGCTCGGTGTAATTAGAAGTGGAACACCTATGTTTAAATCTTAGATTGTTGTACTTCTCTGGTGTGGGACTTCTTCACATCCATCTTGGCTTGTATCAAGCCACCCAGGGCTAGTCCTAAGATTTTTAAGGTCTGGGTTGACGCCAAAAAATGTGCCCTAACTTTAAATAAAAAATATTATTTATTCACACTTAAGATTTCGATAAATTATACTTAGAAAAACACTTCTAATTCAGAAACACGAAAAAACTAAATTATTCTGAAAGAAGGGAACCAAAAAATGCCGAGTTTATAAGTAGATAGATGATGAGCTTTGTTTCCCTTCTATTTAAACTTTTAAAGTGTTTTTATATAAATCATGTGGTGTTTTTTCTTATTTACTAACCTTGTCAATATGGGATTAAAAAAATAATCTTACTTTCGAGTCTTTAATTGATATGTATAAGCAATGAAGGAGCACTAAATTAAACCTGATATTGGTAAAGACCTACATACAGTAATTTCTTGAAGGCTAATGCTAGGAATACCAAATTTTTAAACTAGATTTTGTAAACCATATGATGTGATTATTG